AGAGCTGTAGAAGGACCTCTGTGGGCTCCAAGAATGGTCGAAGAAATGGCTGCTAAGATTCAATGTCAAGAAGTGTAAGAGGATGCACCTGGGGCGTACCAACGGTAAGGAGGCGTATCATATGTCCCAGCGGGATGAAGAAGCTGCACTATTTGAGACTGAATGTGAGAAGGACCTTGGTGTGTATGTTGACAATGTGCTGAAGTTCTCGGGCCATTGCGAGAAGAAAGTAAATCAGGCAAATAAATTATTGAGTCTTATAAGAAGGTCGTTCAGATATCTAGACGGTCCGTCCCTCGTAACGATCTTAAAGAGTGAAGTGCATCCCCATCTGGAGTAATGTCACCCCGTCTGGCCCCCCAGATATGCTTGGGACTGTCAATTGGTTGAAAATGTTCAAAGGAGGGCCACCAGTCTGGTGCCTGCCCTTCGGCACCTCAGCTACCCTGAGAGATTGGAGCGCCTGAACTTGCCTAGCTTATACTACAGACGGGCAAGGGGTAACCTAATAGAGGTGTATAAGCATCTCAGGGGGCACTACTCAGTCGAGTGTCCTTGGAGCTGGTGGACGCTCGCCCCACAAGGGGTAACAGCTCAAGATTGAAGAAGCCGCAAGTTCAGAAAACTTTGAGGGCAAACTTTTTCAGAGTGAGATTTGTGAACTCGTAGAACACTCTACCAGAAAGTGTTGTTACGGCACCGAGTGTGAGCTCTTTCAGGATAAGACTTGACAAACACTGGAGCAGGTTCAGGTACATTCAGGAGCCGGTGCATGCCCAGTACCTGCCAACAGTGCATAACAGAGCTGCGACAGATCGCCCAAGCGGCTAACGAGCCGATCTTTTGTGAAGAGGATAAAAGAGAAGGAAAAGTAATCAGAGACGTGACCGATCACCCAAGCGGCTAACGAGCCGATCAGTGTTGAAGAGGATAAAAGTAAAGTAAAAAGTATTACAATGTTGAAGTTTTTAGAATTCTATAGTTGATAAAAGACTTACTGGTAGATATAGACACTTACACAAGGAGACAACTTGGCTGTCTCTGTAATGTACTCAAATAGCCTTACTTCCCTAACTAGAGCCAGTACAGTATTAACTAACCGCTGGATTGACTTAGGATGTTTTGGGTACTAACGATCAACCCTTAAGACTAAAGGTAAACTTGGTTCTAACTACAGGAGCGAACATAAACACCTGTAGAGTTCTGTAGGTTCTATTCAACGGAAATATACAAGGGTGCGCTTACAAGCACAGGTAGTCCTTACACTCCTATATGGGTCAACTGACCTCTCAGGCGACATGTAGTAAGTGGTACATTAGCAGCTTCCAGATGTCGCCAGGCACATTTATCTAAGCGTGTGGTGACATGAAACGGGCATTGCCACACACCACTGACAAGAGAAGTAATGTATATAAATACAGAACATACATGGTATACATACAACATACATAATATACATACACCTCCCCCCCCCCCCTATACGCTCATAGCAAAGTCTTGAGCGGACCTTTTCCTGTGGATCCGTTCTGAGCGTCGAGGGGCTTGAACACTGGGGGGGATCTGGGACTCAACACTGGTGGCGGAGTCAGTCTGTCTTGCACGCCGTTTGGTGGCCTCGGCTCCATGGTGACTGTCGTGGAGGCGAGCCAAGGCATGAGGACGTGAAGCAGCAGGGACAACTACCGAAGGAGAGGTGTCACTGGCTAGAGGTAGGGGTAGGGCGACAGCAGGGTAGTTGCTGCTCCCTTCGTGCACCCTCTTGGCGTATTTTACCTCGAGAATCGGTGTTGGGAAGTCCTGGGAGATGATGGCCAACTCTTGGCAATGTCTGTAGGACAGCAAAGGAGTTGGGACACCATTATGCACATCAATCCAGGCTTGACACGACCTGTTGCCAAAGGTGACATGTGCTTGGAGTGAACTTAGGGCAGGGGCCATCTGTGAACCATCTGCCGTGAAGCGGAGGTCCTTGGGAGGCGGTCCTAGATCACTTGGAGAGAGCCCCAAACATTGCAAATGCTGGGGGCCGATGACTGTAGCATCAGCGCCGGTGTCGGGCAGCATCTCGAGACGGGATGACACACTGCCGTAGGTCACGATGACGCTGATGTGCTGAGGAACCTTGGTCCTGGGACGTGAGGGGGAGTACACCTTCCTAATATGAGTCGGGCGTTGTCCAGGGTCGTCTTGCCTGTAATGGGCCCCTGTCTCATCAACAGAACATATTATATAAATGGGTCAATACATCTGATATTATATTCAGATTCCCCACCCTGTAACTTTCCACTGTCTATGAGTGAGACATGAGTTGTACACGTGAACGGTAACTTTCCCAAGAGGGACAAACCTGTATGTCAGCATCTTTGTAAGCTCGCACCAGCGACGCTCCTTGCTCAGTCACTCACATCAACTAATATCGAACGGACGTGATCAACGTCTTATATTTACATAAACGCCGTCCTCTTTCTCGTTCACTCATAAATAGTGGAACTTACGGTTGATCTACACTCAGGAATTATAGACATAATCCTTTTATAATAAAATAAAGGAACTTCATTGGGTCTCGTTACTAAAACCCCAATATTTAATTTATGTGAACAACCCGGTAAATTGGGGGATTAACGGACGGATTCATATAAGGTGGCAGCCAGGTGGTTACGAATGCATTGAACTAGTAGACATACCAAGACGTTTGTGTTTTGTGAAAACAGAAAAACAAACAACAGTGACGCGTTACTTACCGTTACATACCGTTACATAATCCGAGTGTTTAAAAATATATCCCATATCGAGACGATACTTAGTGAGTGCTCCTCATCTCTGTCACATACAAAACGTGCAGAATTACTAATATATCATACAGCCAGTTTGGTGAATATCCTGTTACTACCGGTGAAGAAACCCAGAAGTCAGCATTCTTCAGTACAGTGTTGCAGATGGTTTCATAGTCTGTACTAACAGTTGACATTTCATATGTAGCTGGACGGTTGTGTGGTGTTGCGAGCGTCGATTACATAAGTTCCGGTGTCATCAGCCAGTTTTCCATATATACGAGACTGCAAAGGTTTGGCACACGGCAGTCACGACAGCGGCATAGCAGCTAGAAGACAAAAAGCCTTCTTCATTAATATCTGTTCAACTGTGGAGGTACTCCCCGATCCTGTAGTGGACTCGCCCATTGTAGACGTTGCTGGGCATCATCTTTCGTCGCCAAGGGAACCAGCAGGAGGCGCGCCCACTCATCCAAGGACGAAGCTCCGCCCTACTCTACCCCACTCCACCTCAGATATCACCTGGAAGGATGGCGTTTTCTTTACAGACGACTCTACCCTGTAATAGGTATATAAACAGTAAAATACTTTATACACAGTGAGACTCTATAGCTTCTCAAGTGATTGTTACAACTAACAGTCATAACACCATATACACAATTGGTAATGGTACGGGAATTATGTTCTCCCAATTACTGTGGTATACTGGTTTAAAAGAAGAATATATATAGCAAGGAGAGGGATAGGTAGAGTTTCCTGCTTCTCCTCACAGCACTTCTATAGCGGCCTCGTTAGTAGCGGCGCTTAGCAAAGTTGAAGTGTTGTCAGTGCCGGTGAGGGTTGATAGTACAAGATTGGCTCTTGATATTGACGTGGGTGCTTGCACGAATGTATTGGCCTTGACATCCTATCAAGAGTTACAACGTAAATTCCCTCACCGCGACTTCAAATGGAGGCCTAGTAACGCTGAGCTCGAAGGAGTATCAGGTACTTCAGTTGAGCATTAACGGAATGGTGACGTTACCACTCAGATTTTCAAGACGTGGTTTCTCCCTTCTACGCGGACTTTTATGTAGTTCAGCAATTCAATTTGACAGCTGACGGGTTACTTGGTCTCCCAACCCTTAGAACGAACATGATAGATGTTCATCCGCGTAATAATACTATTACGTTTAAAGGTGTTTCTTACAACGCTATGAGTCATTCTGAACCTATGCTCACCACTAGATCGAAAGTGTTGTCCACCAATCCTATTAAGAGGAAGGCGGATCATGCATGAGAGCTACCTCGTGACCTCAACCCCACACTTTCACAGCGTGATTACAGCAGCAATAGTTGGAAGATAGTACCTGCAGTTTTGAAGAGTACTCTCCATTACCAGAATGAGGAATTCACCAAAGCAACTGTCGAATTACCCGACGTGTACACGGGCACAGATGTGTGTCTCCCGGAAACGTGCAAGGTAAAAGGGCTATCGTGTGAGTCTACGTTGAGCACCATATACCCAAGTGGTTTGACAGACGTACTGATTCTGAATAGAACAGGCGTTCAACGAATTTTGAAAACGTGGATAAGAAAAATCTGGATAAAATCACACAGATATCTTCAGAGGCAATTCAATTACAAGGACCGAGGATCTTAAAAGAAAGGGCGACGTAACTAGTCATGTTAAGTCAGGTAAAAAATATGGGACCCACTAATCTAACTCGAATGCTTTCAAAGCATTTTTAACCTTGGGCCACTGACAAATAAATTTGTGTAACATATTATCAGTTTTGTAACTGACCATCACTAAAGCTTACAGAATTTAATTCCCTAATCAAACTTGCTTGCTTCAACCAGAAGTCTTTCTGTGACACATGATGATTTAAACACTTCTAAGCTGTTTTCCCAATCTATGGGATGATTATTGTTCCTAACATGAACGAACAGTGCACTACTTTCAGATGCTGTTCAAATATTGTACTTGTGCTGTTTAATTCTGAGTTGTAATGCTTTCCCAGTCTGTCCTACATAATTTCCATTAGATTTGCTGCATGGAATGCAGTAAACACTCCATTCCATTTACATTCAAGGTTGGGCTATTCTTAATTAATATATTAGTAATAGTTGAGTCATACTTAAAAACAACATTAATATTTAATAATTTTGGGACTGAACTAACGAGACAAATTCATTGCGATAAGGTTACCAAATAGATAATAGATAACAACTGATAAGATTCACTCTGTCCCCATGTGAATACAGAGAGAGGTACGCACTTGCTGTACTCTGTGGTGCTGTCATTGGCATTTGCAACGATAGAAAGTTGTCTCTAAGTTACAGAAGTAAAACAATCCTTTGCGAAAGGTAAAGTGTTGAATAACGTCGTAGTGGATTGACGTCAGACGAAGGTTCTCCGAGACATGACATCCTCTCAACCACAGGTAACGAGTACATGATGCTTCCCACTGATGTTACTTGTTGATACTGAAGCAATGAAAGTGTCCTAGAGTTAGAATATAGATCCTAACTCTAGGTCATTTTTCCTCCTGACAACAACAGTCATTGTAAGTGTTTGGTAGACTGTCAAACAGTGGGGGGAAACTGCAGCGGGCCTATTTGCCCATACTGGGCAGTCCCATTTACACCCAACCCCTATTGCTCATATAAGCATCCAATCTATGTTTGAAGCTATCCAGTGTATTCGAGTTAATGATGATATTTGGTAACTTGTTCCATTCATCCACTACTCTGTTTCCAAACCAGTGTTTACCTATTTCGGGCCTAAATCTAAATTTGTCAAATTTAAAACCATTGTTACGAGTTCGCTCCTGGTTGGATAGTTTGAGTACCTTAGTAATGTCCCCTTTGTTTACCCCTGACTTCCATTTATACACCTCTATCATGTCGCCCCTCTCTCTACTTCTCTCGAGGGAGTGCAAATTAACATGCTTTAACCTGTCTCTGTACTCAAGGTTCCTAATGCCCGGGATTAGTCTAGTCATTCTCCTCTGGATTCTTTCCAAGGATTCTATATCCATTCTGTAATATGGTGACCAGAACTGAATTGCGTAATCCAAGTGAGGTCTCACAAGTGCAAGATATAATCTTAAGATGACCTCGCTAGTCTTGTAACTAACACTCCTTTGTATGAACCCAAGTACTTTATTAGCCTTGTTACGAGCAAAAACACATTGTTTACTTAGCTTAAGATTCCTACTTATCATTACTAGTAAATCTCTGTCGCAGTCGGATTTCACAATGGCATTGTTGTTTATCTGGTAACTGGTTTCCCTGTTTATATCTCCTATACAGAGTACTTTACATTTGTCCACATTGAATTTCATCTGCCCTTTTTCAGACCACTCGAAAAATTTGTTTAGATCTTCCTGTAGTTTTGCTGAGTCCTCTTCAGATTTAATTACACGTCTTATTTTAGTGTCATCACCAAATTTGCTTATGTTGCCGTCTATGCCGATATCTATGTCGTTTATGTATATAATAAATAATAATGGTCCAAGTACAGAGCCTTGGGGAACTCCACTAGTGATGTTGCTCCAATGGGATTTTAGTGCCGTTAATGCTCGCTCGCTGTTTCCTGTCCCTTAACAATGCCCTAATCCATTTTAGAATATTACCTTTTATGCCATACGCTTCTACCTTTCTTATTAGTCTTTCTTGGGGGACTCTGTCGAACGCTTTGCTAAAGTCGAGATATACCACATCATAATTGTGCCCCTTGTCCACCGATTCGAAACTGATGAAAAGAATGTTAATAGATTAGTTAGACACAAGTGATCTTGGGCCCTTTGTGCCCGGTGGCGAGTCCGGTGGTACAGTTTACCGTGGTTGTTATAATCATTGTCGTGTTGTTATAAATATGGTCGTGCTTGTTATAATCATGGTCGTGGTTAATATAATCATAGTCGTGGTTGTTATAATCATGGTCGTGGTTATTATAATCATGGTCGTGCTTGTTATAATCATGGTCGTGGTTGTTATAATCATGGTCCTGGTTGTTATAATCATGGTCGTGATTGTTATAATCATGGTCGTGGTTGTTATAATCTTGGTCGTGGTTGTTATAATCATAGTCGTGGTTGTTATAATCATGGTAGTGGGTGATATAATCATAGTCGTGGTTGTTATAATCATGGTCGTGGTTGTTATAATCATGGTAGTGGTTGTTATAATCATGGTCCTGGTTGTTATAATCATGGTCGTGGTTGTAATAATCATGGTTGTGGTTGCTATAATTATGGTCGTGGTTGTTATAATCATGGTCGTGGTTGATATAATCATGGTCGTGGTTGTTAATCATGGTCGTGGTTGTTATAATCATGTCGTGGTTGTTATAATCATGGTCGTGGTTGTTATAATCATGGTCGTGGTTGTTATAATCATGGTCGTGGTTGTTATAATCATGGTCGTGGTTGTTATAATCATGGTTGTATTGTTATACCCATGGTCGTGGTTGTTATAATCATGGTCGTGGTTGTTATAATCATGGTTGTGGTTGTATACCCGGTCGGTTATACTCATAGTCGTGGTTGTTTTGATCATAATCATAGTTGTTATAATCATGGCGTGGTTGTTATCGGTCGTGGTTGTTATGTCGTTGTTGTCATATTGTGGTGTTATAATCATGGTCGTGGTTGTTATAATCATGGTCGTGGTTGTTATGATCATAGTCGTGGTTGTTATTATCATAGTCGTGGTTGTTATAATGGTCGTGGTTTTTATAATCATGGTCGTGGTTGTTATACCTATGGTCGTGGTTGTTATAATCATGGTCGTGGTTGTTATTATCATAGTCGTGGTTATTATAATCATGGTCGTGGTTGTTATAATCATGGTCGTGGTTGTTATACTCATGGTCGTGGTTGTTATAATCATGGTTGTGGTTGTCATAATCATGGTTGTAGTTGTTATGATCATAGTCGTGGTTGTTATGATCATATTCGTGGTTGTTATGATCATGATCGTGTTTGTTATAATCATGGTTGTGGTTGTTATAATCATGGTCGTGGTTATGATCATAGTCGTGGTTGGTATAATCATGGTCGTGGTTGTTATAATCATGGTCGTGGTTGTTATAATCATGGTCGTGATTGTTATAATCATGGTTGTGGTTGTTATAATCTTGGTCGTGGTTGTTATAATCATGGTCGTGGTTGTTATAATCATGGTCGTGGTTGTTATAATCATGGTCCTGGTTGTTATAATCATGGTCGTGGTTGTTATAATCATGGTTGTGGTTACAATAATTATGGTCGTGGTTATGATCATAGTCGTGGTTGTTATAATCATGATCGTGGTTGTTATAATCATGGTCGTGGCCGTGATTCTTACAGAATCTAATATACTATAGGAAGGAATAGAATAAAGGTTAGAATAATTAGTTAAAGAAATATTCGCCATAAGGAGAGGTTAAAATCATAAAAAATACATTATTATGAATCACCGATGATCATTCCGAAATAAATTATATTATGAAGAGAAGTGACCTTGATTCTGGTTATATTAGCCACCATCTGCTTAAGTCATCACCTGTGTTAAGTCATCATAGTCATCATCTAAGTTAGTCAGTTTTAGGCCCATCTCACATGACTGACCGACCACCGATGTTCTTTCTGCGCGAGGGTGGTAGTTTTCAATGCATCTTATTATTTACGCTGGTGGATGTAAGACCTCCTACCCTCACTGACGCAGCTATGGTCAATTTGGTGTTATTCTTGTTTATAAATGCCTTCTAATCTTTCTCAAGTCTATCCGTCCTGTCTATTGCCATCCCAACTGTCTGCTCGTCTGCGTGGTGTTTGAATGTAAGCCCGTCTGTACTCTTTGTGTCGTCAAATCTGTATGTCTTTTCCGTTGTTGGAGTGTGTCTGCCTGTTTGTCTAATGTGAACCAGTCAGTCAGCTGTCTGTCTGTCATGTTAGTTGCCATATTGTCTATTTGTGCATGTATGAATCTGTCTATTTTTGTCAACCTCCTGTCTGTTTCACTGTCTATATTCACCCTGTGTCTATTGTAGTCATCCTATCCATGCATTCCTGTTATTATCTTTTTATCTCTTCTCCTTTTCCATGTACAGTCACCCATAGGAATAAGTATACACTGTAGCTGTAAGGTCGTCTGGTAATGTTGAAACTTCGCATCCAGAGGCATGATGAAACTCAGCTCCCCCCACCTGTTTCTCTAACTATTTTCTGTTTCCCCTTCTTTATTCTTCTATTTACTCATCTTCCTTCCTTTACTAATCCAAACAACATTGAAAAAAGTAGGGTAAGAAAAAAAGTGGGGGGAGGAGGAGGGAGCCATACGATAACTGCAATCCTGGGCTGACAGCGTACAGCGAATGAGGGTGCGCCAAGTCCGTACACTTGCATCGTTTTCCAGCATAAATAAAATGGTAATTAATGCCTTCCTAAAAAAACCATTGATATGGGACCAGGTTTGTTCCACTCTACGAATTTTTTTGCGATTTTTCCACAAAGTTTGATGAAAAACGATTGTGCCGTTTCGGCTGCCTAGAACAGACACACACACACACACAAACAGACAGACAGACAGACACACACACACCTAGCCCTATAGTATATTAGATGAACGCCCGCTTGTGAAGCCATGCTGGGAATAATTGATCAATTTGTGCTTCTCCAGGTGGTTTCGAATAGAGTTTGAAATGATTGTTTCCAGTAATTTGCTTACAATTGATGTTAGACTGATTGGACAGTAGTTAGAGGATAGTGATCTATCCCCCTTCTTGAAAATCGGTATTACATTCGCTATCCTCCAGGATTCTGGTACTACACCTGTTCTTAAGGACATGTTAAACAACTTTGCTAAGGCCATACTAAGCTCTTCCTTACATTCCTTTAATACTCTGGCAAATATCTCATCGGGACCAGGTGATTTATAAGGCTTTAGTCTGTCTATTTGCTGCTTTATCGTTACAAGTCACTACTATCTCGCTTAATTTGTTTCTTCCT